CAGTGGATTATCCAATCCCTACCTAACCTACCATTTTATCATTTTTCTTGGTATGGGAATAAATTGAATGCGAGATATGCAGGTGTATCCACCAATAATGAGAATGGCCAATTGTTTTCCTATTTATACAGCTCTCATCTTGTGATGCTCCAAGCTTCAATATCTAATTCCTCTTGGGCCAAATCATACCACTCTCCTCATAAACGACTATCTCTATCGACAAATGACGAAGTCTCTCGGTCAACCTCAGTAGACTTTTTCCTCAAGAAACCAATTGATGCATCTAAACTGCCATCCATTTGTTTCATCCAAGATCATGGCCACATACGAAAAACACTCTTGATTTCAGTAGCAGATGCATCATCGAACACTTTAACCCGGAAAAGTCGGATCAATGATTTACCAAAATGATCTATTTGAAACGTCGTCTTCATTAGAGGTATGAATATCCAAAAGCAACAAATTTTCAGCTTAACTATTTTTGTCTTAATCCGACTAATATCGTTCCTACGTGCGATTTGGATGACTGGTCTGACTTTCCATCACTCACTAATTGCAGATTGTGGTGTCTCACTCTAGGGATTTAGTGTTAAGAGCTGAACCGAGAACACCATCAAGAGGAAAAAAAAGTTTCAAAATAAAATCAAAGGGCGACGTGGTTGGCGATTCTCCACCCCAGCTCCTTACCATGCCCGCAGCCAATTCTCCTCCGAATCACCATCCATTGAAGGCAAGTGAAGTATGCACAGGTTCTATGTTTTCCCATGGAACTCCAATTGGCCAAGCAAACTCCATCTTCAGTGGATAGATAGAGAAAGAGAACATCGGGTATGCTTGAGGTGAATAGATTTGCTTCCAATTATTACATGTAAAGTTGTATAAGAGCTCGGTGTAGGGAGCGAGCTTCCCTTAATTTTTGCGTCACTCTGAAATGAATTTTTGTTACACGGAACATCCATCTACTTTCTTGTATTATGTGCAAATCTCCGAAGAAATCGGTTCTTACGTTTTCTATGTCGCTAATGAAACGTGTGACATGAATCTCGAGCAATTGTCATGTCGTTAATCCTGCGACAGTAGCATGACCTCAAAGCAATGGCAAGCCTGGCATATCTTTTTAGTCATACTTTTCTCTAATCAACAAAATCCGATGTGGATCCACTCCTAATTATGTTGCTTAGAAGCCCCATATAAAAGAAACTTAAATAACACGTTACTTTATTTTACTAGTTTCAGTAAATGCTTGGTTTACGATATAAGAAACCACTTATTACACATGTATATCAAGTGGAAACAAGATCGCAAGTTCAAATGGACGTGAAATGCATGCATCGGATACATGCAATAATTTTTCATATATGATTTGAAGTGTGAATCGGTACATCTAATAAACCATGTTCAATATGTCGAATTGCCATTGCTATAGTGATTTCTTATAATCTTAAGGTTGGTAGTCGAATTTCCATAAAATTTCGAATATTCATCAATGAATAAATGCGCAACCCCGTTTTTGGATTGAACCATTCTGACTAGACCTACCCTTTTATGACATTTGCTACTATGGAAATGTGTATAAATGCAAATATGCAAGTTAATCCACAGTAATAAAGAGTATGGCCAATGCGTTTTCCTATTTATACAATCCTTCATCTTTTTTATGCATCATGCTTCTTTACTCTTGTTAATTAGCCTCACAATCAGCCCCCACATTAAAAGGTTATTATGCATAAACAATGACCATATTCAAAGCAATAGTTACGAGCGTATACGATTTATTTTTAATTTTCCAAATTAACAAACATTGTAAATTTAATCTTCACAAAACTAGCTCTTTTTTTAACTCCTACCGATCGAGGCTTTCCTCAAATAAATAAGAAGTGTGAGTTTCAAAAATTATATTTATAGTCTCATCAGCAAATTTGGATAGCCAAAATTGAAAAGCAAAAAAGAGAAAAGAGCATATTACGTGTGCTGTAAAAATCAACCAACATAAAATTATATCCGCGGCTCTACGTGGAAAGGCAAAGTCTTTACAAACTTTGCATTGAGAACTACTAGACAGAAACTCATCCATTCACCGTCTCTGAATTCAGATATTTCTCTTATTCCTCGCCCCATTGATAGGTGGAAAAGTTCGGTTCCTATTTTGTGGAAGCTGTCGACTTAATCGATAGAGAGCTCTACAGGTCACTTTTGCGAATCATAATGTCCGCTCGGCATTGTAATTTGTTCGATCGTCTCTCCCCACTCGCCTTCCTATCAAGTCGCCCATAAGTTTATGGTAAGCCGATAGTAAGAAAGCGCATCATGAGGGTTGCCATAAAAAATAAAAACATAGCAAGCGACGACTAGTAAAAGGTTGCAAAACAATCGGTTTGGTTTCAATTTCAAGCTAACTACAAGCCATGTTAATTAGCATGTCTGATTTCACTGACCATCTCTTCCTTTTTGGTCTTCAAAAGCAAGGCTCGTCCACTACTCAGCACACGTACATTTCTAGGGAAAATTATCAAAAAAGTCCTAAACCTATTGTACGGCGGTCAATTCAGTCCTAAACCTTTTAAGTTTGCCAATTCAGTCCTAAACCCTTTTAATTCTTGCCAATTCAGTCCTTCTGGCCAATTTTAGCCGGCCGGCGCTGACGTGGCCGCCGGCCGGCGCCGACCGTCCGGCCAACGCTGACGTGGCAATTTTTTTATTATTTTTTTAATCTTTTTTTTTCTTTTTTTTCTGCTTTCTTCCCTCTTCCCTCTGGCCGGTTCGGCGACCTGTGGTCGGCCAGAGGGGAGGGCCGGCAAGGTCGACCTCGCCGGTGGCCGGCGAGGGTGAGCCTCGCCTCGCCGTCGCAACCCAGGCGACGGCGAGGCGAGGTCGAGCCTCGCCGTTGCCTGGGTCACGACGACGAGGCTCGACCTCGCCTCTGCTGGCCGAGGTGAGGTCGGCCTCGCCTCGCCGTCGCCTGGGTAGCGACGGTGAGGCGAGGTTGACCTCGCCTTGCCCTGCCAGGGGCCGGCGAGGCTCGCCCTCGCCGGCCCTCCCCTCTGGCCGGCCGCCGGTCGCCGAACCGGCCAGAGGGAGAAAGCAGAAAAAAAAAGAAAAAAATAATAAAAAATTGTCACGTCAGCGTTGGCTGGACGGCCGGCGGCCACGTCAGCGTTGGTCGGACGGCCGGCGCCGGCCGGCTGCCACGTCAGTGCTGGCCAGCCAAAATTGGCCGGAAGGACTGAATTGGCACAAATTAAAAAGGTTTAGGATTAAATTGGCAAACTTAAAATGTTTAGGACTGAATTGGCCGCCGTACAATAAGTTTAGGACTTTTTTGACGATTTTCCCTACATTTCTAGGATGCTTGTTAATGTTGCTGTCCTTTTTAACGAATGGCTCATCTGCTGTCCCAGAGACCATTTGTGATCTGACAAGGCTCAAGCGCAAAAATGGAAATTGGAGGAAAAAAATGTGAAGTTTCATGTGATGAAGCTATTCCTTTCCTGCAACTAGGAGTAGCTTTCCATTTTGCATTTCGGAAATGTCCCTGCACTGTTAATATATTATTAACACTTAAAATGAATCGAAAGCATCAACAATTGATTTATATTTGTTAGTTATAACTTAACATAATTGTATTATTATACTAATATTTAAATACAATTTAATTATGAGATGATATACTACTACGATCGTAAGCGATATATTTTTCGTAATTAGAAGGTAACTATATTGTTGTAACTATGTGACATTATTATGATTAGTTGATATCACATAATTAAACATTAATTGTTATATCTTTTCATTTATGATTCTAAAAAATATGATAATAAAAGACATTAGGCTTCGACCATCTATCGTCAAAGGGTATTATGAGAATTCTTTACTATTCCGGTCCTACCATATTCTCTATGGTGTAATGGCAAACCAAACAAGAATATGGTCTTGAAGTAAAGGATGAATAAGATCTCCGCGCATGCATGACCCCTATTGAAAAAGGTTACTACAGAGTGCTATATGAATAGAATTTTTAAATAATTTTCTCAAAGATGAGTCTTATGCCGTGGCATTGGCTTATGAATAATGACTTGAACTTACCTGTATTTATAGAAGTAATCTTATATTAATTTTAATGCTAAGCATCCCCTTATAGTATAGTTTTTTTCTTTTCATCCAGTCTAGTTTCTATACTTTAAGAGGATACTAATTATAAAGACAGGTCATATCCAGTTTTTCCCCCTCTTTCTGAGCCAAGAAACTATCTTTTTCAAAGAGTCGTGTACGAATCTTTAGCATACATAGTTGATAGACAAGTGAAGCGAACTCATATAGTTCAAAATAACTAACGATTTTTTTCTTGGTGACGAGAATTCCTTTCAATAACACTAATTTTGAGCAATTTTGTTTGACTGTTTAGTTCGCCAAACGGCGAGAGAAGAAGGAAGGTTGCCTAGTATAGACTTCGTTTATGCATATCAGAATTTTATAACGAGAGTTGACAAATCTAAGTCCATACAAGTAAATCAACTTGTTCTATGACTCAACGTAAGAGTAATACACCGTAATTTTCATTATCGCGATTAAACGTACAACACGATTTGCTAAATCAAAAGACAATCTGCCTTGAAACGAGATTATTGCAATCCTTGTGAACAGCCTGTGAATTCGAACCAAATGTGAATGGTAACCCAAAGACCATTTTCCTTTTTCTTATTTATTTTTGCATCTAAACTTAACCATCAATACAACATCGACATGCATGCAATCACATGATGCATTTCAACAGTCTGGAGAGATTATTAATGCCATGACAAAGAAATGAATTAATTAGTACATTTGGTACAAGCCCAGAAATTTTCTTTGCAGCAAACGAAAGCATTTTGTAGCCAAAAATGGTAAGATTTGGTCTGAGAAGAGAACTCCCTTTGATATTCTCTCCCCTGTTTCTTTTGACTTTGAACCTTTCCTCCATGCGAAACCAACCAGTGCCTGTTCTATCTCTGTACATTCCCTCTCCTCTGTCTCTTTCAGTCCCTTCATTTTCTCTCGTTCTCCCTTTTTCTCTCTCGGTTTTCTTCTTCCTCTCTTGGCCTGAGCGTTCTGCATCCCCAGATAAAAGAAGTGTTTTTGCATCAACGTAGCTCCTCTGTCCATTTTTCACCCTCGCCAAGCTTCTTGTCCTCTTTGGTCAAAATCATGGCTTCTGGTCTTCCTGTAGCATCAAGAACCAGAGCCCGTATAAAGAATGAAGATTCCTTTGCCGAGTGTTTCTCTAAGGCAGAGCCCGGAAGAAGGAAAGGTAGTTCTTCGGGGGCAAAGCACAGAGGCAGAGCTCGACAAAGAGTCTCCTCTGTTTCTGCTTCAAGTAAATTGGGCGGCGGAAACGGAGGCGGCGCCAGTGATGACAGCCATGAGGTCATTGTTATTACAGACAGTGAAGAAGGCAGTGACAAAGTGATTTCAGTGAATGGAAGTGGTGAGGAGGAAGAAGAGTCCAGCGATTACGGACCTCGGACGGCACGAAGGTTTCAGCCTAACCAGGTTTTTCATAAATGTAAAAATACTGTTGTTATTGATGACGTTAGTAATGACTCCGATGAAGAGGATAGCACAGACTTTGAGTATGATGAGAGTGTAGGTGGCCATGAAAATGGAAGGTTTAGAGGTTACAAGTTCTTGTCTAATGCATGTTCTGATGATGACTTGATATGCTCTGGTGAGCAGAACAGCGATGAGGATTTTGTCACAAATGTGTCAGTAAGCTTGAGCGCAGATGGAGAAACTTGTTCGAGCTCGGAAGAGTATGTGTCTGGGAGTAAGCGTGAGGAAAATCTGCAAATAAGGAAGAAAAGAAAACGCAAGGACGGAGGCGAGTTGAGTAGTTCGTATAGCACAAGGAAAACTAGTAAGAAGCTTGATATTGAGTGCACGGTTGATCCGGTGATTGACCATGCAGGAAAGAAGGAGAATGTGGAACGCAGAGTTTCGTGGGTCAACGAATGGTTGCAGGATGATGTGGAGCAAAAAGGGGAAGAAGCGATTAATGTTGAGCTTGATATTGAGTGCATGAATGAGCCGGTGATTGATGACGTGAGAAGGAAAGTAAATGTGGATTGTAGAGTTTTGTGGGTCAATGAATGGTTGCAAAGTGATGTGGAGGAGATAAAAGAGGAAGAAGTGATTGTTGAACGATTAAATACAGAAATCAACTGTCCATCCAATGATGAGAATGGAAATAGTGGGCCAATGGAGGAAAGAGGAAGTTTTAGTGTGTCGGAGTGCGGAGGAGCGAGGGAAAAGGAGGAAAAACGACGCGGCATTAAAAATGATGGTGAAGAGTTGCAGGGTGATGATGATGAACAGGAGGAGGAGGAAGGCAAAGCGGGGATTGAGTTCGATGGAGTGAAGGCTGGAACAGATGTCTCTTTTGTTAATGAAGAGGGAAAGATCAGGGAGATGGAAGAGAGAGGAAACTTTTGTGTGCCAGAGAAAGAAGGATCAAATCAGAGCCAGGAGAAGTCGACTTCCCAGAGCAAGGTCTTTGGAATTGATAGAAGAATGCAGGAGAAAAGATATGGGAAGCATGTACAGTCAGACTTTGATTCTGTCGTTGGATATGGGACTTCGTTGAAAGTAGAAGGTCAAAAGGAGAGGGAATTAGGCATGTCCTGTAGCATCGGACACCTGCAAAAGAAAAGGAAATATGAGGATTGCAGCGGCGAGAAAGTGTTTGCGAACAGAAATGCTGAGAAAGAGCAAGAGTCAGCTACTGATGGTATTGTGCAGGGAAAGAGAAAGTTAATCAGGAAGTTTGGGGAGCAAGCCAGTGACATAAGAAGCAGTGCTGAACTCCTGATGTCATTGACGAAAGTCAGTGAAACCTTTAGCAAACCATGCAAGGGAGCTGACACAAATGCTGCGAATGTGACAAAGAAAAATAGTTCAGTAGGCAGCCGTTGCGAAAGTAAGGAAGAGGCTGTGAGGAATGATTGTAGGGGAAATTGGGAATCCAGAACTAGGAGGGAGAGAGCTGGAGAATCAAGGGAAAATACGTTATTCAAACTTGCCAATTGCATATGGGGGAAGGATGAGATTATTCAAGATGATAGACAGAAGGAAAATGCGGAGAAAGAGAAACAGTTTGCTGGTGACTGTGTCATGAAGGAAGAGAGAAGGGAAAGCACAGAGGAGTTTGAGACTTCTGGCATGACAGCCGGCAGCATGAAAAGAGACAGCTCAGATAATATGTACGAGCAGAAGAAAGTCGGTGAAATCTTGACTAAGTCAGGCGAAGAGGGAGTTGGGGTGCATCAAGCAAAAGGGAGAAAAGATAATGGGAGCACCCACGACTATCATATTCGCTGGGAGAGTTCCGGTACGTCGAAAGAATTTAAATATTTCAAACGCCTTGCTCAAAAGTTCAGGGATAACAAAGATGATGCCGGTCAGAAGGAAATTGTATGGGAAATAGCGAGCAGGACAGAGCCGCGGACGGAAGTGCCTCCGCTTCCTTTGAAGTTCTTCTGGGGTGATGAGGAACCGGAACCTCCACCAAAATCTGAAGCAGAGAAGGAGATGGACAAGATGTGGATCGACATGGAATTTTCTCTTAGGGCTGGTGAAATTGGTTCTTCCGGAACCCCGGTAAGTTTCATGACACCTGCTAGCAAACGAAAGGGCACTTTGTCTAAACTAAGTTTCTTATATGCTTGATAGTTGATCCTCAATACACATGGTTTGAATATTTGTGACTACCAAACCCAGTAGCAAAGAAAGTGGAATAATTCTGCAACCAATCCGAACTAAATGATCAATCTGAAGCAGTCCGTACTCTCGCATAATTTGTTTTCAGCTATCTTAACTTGATCCCATTTACTTTTCTATGCCTCGTGGGATTTGGAGTAATGCAGGACACAATATACTCCTATTATTGTCACTTTTATTGCTGTTATATTGCTGTTCTGCATTGATAGTTGCCGTCTTCTTAATTTGAAAATCAATTCCAGTGACGCTGCCAGAGAAGAAACAAAAATATAATTATCTTGCAATTGCAACTGGTCCTTATTCGAGTGCAAATAGACATAGGAAATTAGCAAATAGGACTGACAGCATAATTTCATTAGAGATTTCTTGCATATTTAGTGGTTTTAAAAGCTCTCTTGTGATGCTCTTCAGGAGGAAACTGAAACAAGTCAAGCCACCCTTTGTCCAGGAGGAAAGCATGAGCTCATTTGCGATGAGGAAATTGGTTTGATTTGCCTCTTCTGTAAACAAGTACAGCTCGAGATAAAATATGTCTTGCCACCATTTCTACCATCTTTTGTAAGTTCTGTTGGTTTACCAAGTCTGGCTGTTACTGTTATGTACCATTTTTAAAAATACCGTCCACACTTCACAGTTGGACTAGTTATGTTATTGACCGTCACTTCCCTAGATTAACTGTTTCACTCACCACCGTCCTCAATGTATGTCTATGCAGTAGAATCTTTGAAAACCATTGTTTCCTTATTATTCTGATTCTTTTTCCTGCCTTTTATCCCTTAGGAAAAGTTCTCCAACGAAGCGTCAGGCACTAAAACGTTGCCCAATGGAGGGAATCTGTCTTTGTTTGAGGGGGTTCCTCTTCAGCCTTCTGGAAATGAATCTGTTGAACTCTCTCATCAGAGCGGCTCTGTTTTGGATCTCATCCCCTGTGACAGGAGTAAAATGTATCCGCACCAGCTAGAGGGCTTTGAGTTTATGTGGAAGAACCTAGCAGGGTCTACTGATCTAAAAGAATTGTCCAACTCTGAGCCTAAGGACGTTGGTGGGTGCATCATATCTCACGCTCCAGGCACGGGAAAGACTTGCTTGACCATACTTTTTCTGCACACGTATCTTGGACTCTTCCCCAATTCCCGCCCTGTGATTATTGCTCCTGCAAGCTTGCTTCTCACTTGGGAAGAAGAGTTCAGGAAGTGGAACAAGAAATGGGACACCAGCATTTCATTCCACAACTTGAATAATCCGGAGTTCTCCGGGGCAGAAAATCCGGAAGCTGTGAGAATAGTGGAGGAAAATAGGCACCTCAAGCGATGTAACGATGTGATGAGGATGATCAAGGTCTATTCCTGGAGTAAAAGCAGCAGCATACTAGGCATAAGTTACAATTTATATGAGAAGCTTGCAGTCGGGAAAGGGAAAGGCATAAAGGATCCAGTGAAGAAGGCAGAGATTGAAAAGAAAGATGAAGAGATGAGAAAAATTCTTCTTGATTTGCCTGGTGTAGTGGTTCTTGACGAAGGGCACACGCCACGAAACGATACAAGCAGCATTTGGAATCTTCTGCTGAAACTTCGGACTGAGAAGAGGATCATCCTCTCAGGCACCCCTTTCCAGAATAACTTTCTAGAGCTCTATAACACCTTGTGCTTAGTGAGACCCGCAACCGCCAATGAACTCCCCGAGAGTCTCAAGAAATTCTGCCAGACAAGAACAACACAGCGGAAAAGAGCTAAAAAAGAAGATATCAATTCCCTTGTTCAGCCACATGACAAAGTAGCTGATGATGTGATTGTGAATCTCCGGTCTATCATGGCTCCATTTGTTCATGTTCACAAAGGGAGCATTCTTAAAGAGAATCTTCCTGGTATAAAAGAGTGCATAGTGGTGTTAAATCCGGGGGATAGGCAAAAGAAGATTGTTGAGAACATTCAAAGATCTCAATGCGGGTTTGAATATGAGTTCAAGCTGTCTTTGGCTTGCATTCACCCTTCTCTGATCCTAAGCTGCAATGCGTATGGGAATGAAAAACCTCTTATTTTCCAGGAGCGTCAGAAGCTTGAAGATCTGAAGACTAACACAGATGCTGGGGTAAAGACGAGGTTCCTGGTGGAGTTAATACGGCTCAGCGAAGCACTTGGTGAGAAGGTTCTTGTCTTCAGCCAGTACAAAGAGCCATTGTCCTTGATCAGTGACCAACTGAGATCGACTTTCCTGTGGCCGTCCACAGGAAAAGAGATTTTACACATGCATGGGAGCCTCGATCAGAGGGAACGTCAGCGTTTGATTGAAGAATTCAACAGCCGACAGAGCCGAGCAAGAGTAATGTTAGCTTCGACTAAGGCTTGCTCTGAGGGCATAAGTCTAGTCGGAGCATCTAGAGTTGTCTTGCTCGACGTGGTTTGGAATCCTTCGGTCGAGAGGCAAGCAATCAGCCGCGCGTTCAGAATTGGCCAGGAGAAGGTGGTGTACACATACCATCTGATCACGAAGGGAACCGTGGAATGTAACAAGTACGGCAAACAGATGGAAAAGGAGAGATTGTCTAAGCTGGTTTTCTCCCCAACTAACAAGGAAAATGGTGACCGAAGAAAGTCCAGTTTGATTGCTGAAGACCGAATACTGAAGGAGATGACTTCCAGCAAAAACTTCAACGATATGCTTGATCAGATACTGTACCAGCCAGAGGATTCCGATTCAGACGAGAACTTTGATTCTGAGGTCATCCCATGACTGATCATGTGAGCATTCAGCTCGATCTGAAGTTAAGACCTGGTATTTTATGGCCATTAATAGACAGTGCAAAAGAAGTTGCAGTGTCAGTTTGTTAGGTCTCGTGCTTACTGTTGTAACTAGTGAGCTGAATCTGTAATCAGTCATCTGTAGATGTTCTTAAGCAATGTTCTATGTATGGATTTCCTTCTCATCTCTCTCCGCTGCTGATTCTTCTTTTTATGATCCTCTCAAAACTCTGCTTCATTAATTTGGATTGCAACAGCGCTACTTTAACTAGTCTTCTTGGAGTCAATGAAATTTGCATTCTCAATTTCAAAGAGCTGCGAAAGTAGGCATAGAATTCATCGTTGCATACACTGAATTTATATCCATATCTGGTCCAAGCAACAAAGAGACTAACATGTAGTCTGCTAGACAAATTTTGCTTTATGATGCATTTTTTCAATTGAATCTGCACCTATTAATCTGAAGATTTTATCCAGTTTATGGAAATGAATCCATACTCTAGTCAGTTTCCAGGTGATTCTCACTTGAGTTTAAATTTCAATTTATTTTTCTGGTCTTTAATGGTGTAATCATGGTCTTTGGACTTGGAAGAGGGTTCACAATTCTCCACAATATTGTTCAATTCAGGGTTGAGCGTCCCAGATCGTGGTTTGTATGGAGAAACAGAATTTGGAGTATATTTTTAGTTTTCTTTAATTGAAAACACTTGAAAAGAGAGGATGTAATGAACTAAAGAGATGAGAGATAAGCCATTCGACAGTTTCCTCATGGGCTTGGCGCTGCTTTCTCTGGTCATATTCTTCTGGGAAAAAGCATGGCCTGAAGAGAGGTCGAGCCAAGATATTCACCCGCAGCAACTCTGTACTGTCTCAGTAATTTCTTTCTAAAGAAATTGGTTTCAATCGTATGAGAAGGTTGATGCATCACTGCCTTGTGTGCATCTACACTTGGGAAAATCTGGATATAGTCTTACCAGTGTAACGTGACGCATCTCTTAATCTTTTGAAGATATGAAAACTGCTTTTGCATATTTTATTCCCAGGTGGGTTAGTTTGATTTTATATCTACTGCTAATAGATGGATTGTGTTGACGTGATGCGTATAAGTAATTAAAGCCACTAACTACTGTGAAGTCTATTCTTTTTTAAAATTTTCCAGTTACCTGTATATTCAATCTCTTTTTCAGTTGTGCACACCTCATTTTGCAACATTGCAAATTCTATTAATTTTGAACACTTATGTTTGCATGCACCGACAAAGCAAATTTGAAGTTTTAGTCTATATAATGTTCTTAACTCGAGAAGGAAAACATATCTCTCTTATCTGCTTTAAAGAATCCAACTTATTGTTGGTTGTTGAGTTCATATCCGCGCTAAGAAGAATCCTGAATCTGTTCCGTCTTTTCCTACCTAGCAGTTGTTTCGCTTCCAGTCTTCAAAGATAACTTCCTCATTCTAGTTAGACCATGAAATTTTGTCCATCCCACGCAGGGCAGTTTTCATGTATAGAATTATACGCACGCTTCACAAAGCAAATGAAAACATCTGCTTTTCAAGCAAGGTCGATTGTGCCGATCACTCAAATGTCTCTTCACTGGACATTCGTGTAGGTGATGGATTTGCTCATGTTCTGGTAAGACCTGATAAATCTCTCATAAGGTCTCGAAATGCCATGTTTAGTCCGGTAGAGATCATCAAATGGTACGAATACAATATTACACATGTCCGTTGGTGACAATAAGGTGTTACGAGTCACTGCAAAAGAAGTTGCAGTGTCAGTTTTTTAGGTCTTGTGCTTACTATTGTAACCTATAAGCTGAATTTGTGATCAATCATCAGTAAAATGTTCTCAAGCAAGTCAAGCCGCAAATAATGATCAAGCCTTGCAATTGGTGCATCTCTCTTGATCAGGTTGTGCTTTCAAGACTTGGTCATTTCTCTTGGTCAGTTGAGGTTACACTCATCTCAAAGCAAAAATTTCAACTCAAGCCACGAACAAATCAAATACACCATGGACATTCATGTTACTAGCAACTCCAATACCAAGGTCACATTCATCGCCTTCCCCAATTCATTGGGTTACATTTGCACCTTGCACAAAAAGCTTCAAACAACTTCCTACAACAGCAAACATTGAACTACCTACTAGCGCCACCTTCGACATTGTCAATACAATCACGGCTCCTATCAGAGCTAATATGATTCCCGCGTGAATCTTTCTCCTTTTTCCATCCGCAAGCTTTTAGTTCAAGTTGTTAATCTCTGCAACCTTGAGCTCATCTTACTTGTCCCAGTGTTTGCCTTTGCAGGATGGCCATTCTTTCCAGAATTTCTCCACAACTTTCAGCTTCTCCTTCAGCACTTCATCGTCATTCCTCCAACTAAAGAAGCCCCCAACAACCGACAAATTGCGAAATGAGCATGAACTTAGCAATCCAAATCGATGGCGAACATTGACCTTTCGACACCGATCAATCCAAATCGACGCTCTCGGTGCAGCTACTGAAATCAAATCGAAGCCAATCAACTCGGTTGCTATCAACAAATCGAGAGTGCATTGCCCTCCGCTACGAAAAGCAATACAACCTCCTCGTGGGATTCTTTGCAGGAGATGTTTCCGTCGCTAGATGCGAAGCTTCTCGAAGCTCAGTCACCTTTGTTGCCGCTTCCCATCGACGACAGTGCTGTTGATTTGCTCAAGAACCCTAATTTTTTTCTTGCCCCCAAAAGCAAGAACCCTCAAGAAACCCTAATTTTATGCCCCAAATTCAATGGCCCAATTCCCTAAAAAAACCCCAACTTTAGCCTTTATCCCAATTATATCCCAAACTTTTTTTTGTCTCATAAAAAACCCCAAACTTTTACTTTTGTCCTAAATTTACCCCGTTTACTATTCATCCAATTTTTTAATATTATTTTTATTTTTTCGAATTTTTTTCCTTTTTCTTTTTTTTTTTTTTTTGTTTCACCTTCAACCTCCAGCCGGTCGCCGGACCGGCGACCGGCCAGAGGCGAGGGCCGGCGAGGTCGGCCTCGCCGGCTCGATGGAGAGGCTCGGCCTCGCTGTTCTTCGGGCGAGCCGACCTCGCCGGCGCCGGCGTAGGCCGAGCCTCGCCAGATCTCGGGCGAGGCTCTGCGGACCTCGCCGGCGGCCGGCGGGCCGAGCCTCGCCGGATCCGGGCGAGGCTCGCCCCGCCGGCCGGTACGAGGTCGGCCTCGCCGTTGCGCCGAGGCTCGGCCCGCCGGCGAGGCACCGGGCGAGGTCGGCCGCCCAAAGAATCAGCGGAGGTTCGGCCTCGGCCGACCTCGCCCGGCAACGGCGAGGCCGACCTCGCCAGTGCCGCCGCGGGCGAGCCTCGCCGGATCCTGGCGAGGCTCGAGGCTCGGCCTCGCCCTGGCGGGCGAGGCGGACCGGGCCGTGGCGGCCGGCGGGGCCGAGGCCTCGCCCAGATCCAGTGAGGGTCTCCGCCCGGCGAAGCATGGCGAGGCTCGGCCTCGCCCGGAAGAACGGCGAGGCCGACCTCGCCATCGGCCCCGCCGGCAAATTCATGTGCGAGGTCGATCGAGGCCGAACCTCGCCGTTCTTCGGGCGCCAGGCCGACCCCGCCAATGCCAGGTGGGGCCGAGCCTCGCAGATCTGGGCGAGGCTCGGCCACAGATTCTTCGGGCGAGGCCAAGCCTCGCCAGCTGCCGGCGGGGCCGACCTCGCCGGTCCTCTCCTCTGGCCGGTCGTCGGACCGGCAACCAGCCGGAGGTTGAAGGTGAAACAAAAAAAAAAAAAAAAAGAAAAAAAAAAAAAAATTCGAAAAATAAAAATAATATTAAAAATTGGATGAATAGTAATCGGGGTAGATTTGGGACAAAAGTAAAAGTTTAGGGTTTTTTATGAGACAAAAAAAAGTTTGGGATATAATTGGGACAAAGGCTAAAGTTGGGGGTTTTTTAAGGAATTGGGCCCACTTTGGACTGCACAAATTGTAGGTTTTGTTTCAGTACAGTAGCATGAAATTCGTTCCATTGTTGAATTTTCTTAGTGCATATATCTCGCTTCAAGTACTTTATCAGGCTCAATGTTTACACTTCCTTGAAGAGCAAGTTCCTGGATTGCATTGCAGTCAGGAGTAGCACAGGGCCTTGTTACATCTAATTTTACAAGTGCGCTCCTTTCTCAATCTAGACATCATATCATTCTTTGAACTTTAGAAGCTTTTGAGAAGGAGATCTCTTCGGGTAACCATAACGTACTCCATTTACAAATATCACTCGCCAAGGACCAATAAAAAGAGCTTCGCATTGCACAGTGAGGTATTGGCCCACTTCGCAGCTGTTTCCGCATTTCTCTAGTCTGCCAGAGGAATTGAAAAGGACATCTTTTCGCCTGTCGGTAATTGAACCGGAACCGATTCCTTCATCATTATTAAAACAACAGGATGGTAGTTTCAAGCCAACCCCAACAAGAGTCATGCTAGAATATACCCTCTATTCTATCATCGGTGATCTCGCTCAGTCTGTGCGAGGTCTCTGTGCCATCCCAGCCATTTGTGGACTTCTGGTTTGCTGTCATGATTTGGCTCTGGTACATGGAATAATAAGGAGGAGAATTCCTCTTAAAAACTGGAATTCAGTGCAATCTAATTGCTGTATGAAGTGAATCATTATGTCATAGCATAGACATGCTCTGAACTTACAACTTCTACTTTTAAGCGTATCCTGCAGTGAGCAGACCATGAAGATAGACATCATTGTGTGATGATTAAGAATATATCCATACGTCCACCACGTTTATTTGACATGCCTGGGACACAGCATGCAATCCAGCGTTCTCAGCAAAACCTTGATGGATTCATCTGAAGGATTACCACCATGGTTTCATTAGCAGCCACAGGCTATGGATTCTCATATTAAGCAACCAATCTGGTTCTATACTGCAGTATACAGGGTTTTTTTTTTTTTTTTTTTCTGTATCCTCTCATTTGAAGGTAAATTAGAAAGGAGATCGGGTGGGAAGCCGGAGATCATACTTTGATCAAAGTATTATTACAAAAGCATCTAGGTCATGTTCTGTCCCATTACAGTAACGGCTCGGTAAAGAGGAATGACAAAGTACTTTTCGAAGAACACATTAAAACATGTATGTTACCAGCAGAGATCAAGTCCTGAGACATTGCCAAATAATACTTTGATCAA